GCCTACCATCTTCACCCGAATAGAACGCCCGGTAATTATCGCCGTATCTGGGCCGAAAGGCGTACCAAATACAGATATAATGACCGGGCGTTCTATTCGGGTGAAGACGGTAGCTCAGTGGGTACACCCATGAACTGTTGAAATACAGACCTGAGTTCGAATCCAGATAAGTACATGATGAGTGAGAGAGAGACAAACAAGAAGGAAAAGACGGCCATCAATTCGCGAAAAAAAAAGACCCAGAAAAACGGTTTGACTTGCAACTAAGCACGCTCTCGACTCATATGCACATGTACACGCGCGACAATCAACATCATCAGTCGGTGTTCTTCATTATTCTTACTTACTCTTCCCTTCTCATAATTTTCACTCGTTCTTCTTGTTCCTCAATCTCGTCCATCCTGTGCATTCCGAGTATTCTTCATTTCAATAGCAATACCATTCACCATGTCGAGAGAGCGGGGAGGAGGTCAGAAAGCAGATACGCGCTGTGCGGCAAAACGACCTCCTCAAAGGGACAAACATCCCCTTCTGCAATCTCATCGTCACATCCACTTCTCTTAGTGCACAACAGGGATCAAAACTGCCAAGGTGAGTTCCCGCATGCGCTCACATCGCGCGCAGCGGCGCAACAACTGCGCAGCAACGGCGTGGCACGTTAGAACTGGTCGTCCTTCAGCCGGCAAACCCCGAGCCTTCCGCGTCAACCGCCACCGTCTCCACACACCTTCCAGAGCATACGCAGATGCGTATACACGCACACATATAAAACAAACGAAGCGCAGAGACCGCGCACAAGAGATGTCGCGCTCAACGGCACGTTCGCACTTCCGCGCACGCGGCTCACATATACCGCGCGGGCAACAGCCAGCCTCCTTGGTCAGCCTTCTTCGCCTTGGAGTTTCTCGCGAGGCGCCATTTGGGCGGCAGTTAGGTCAGCGGGGCCATGCTACCCAACCAGCGCATTTGCCTTTTTTTTTTTAAGGCAAAAAAAAATAGTGCATTTGTCAGGAGGAACGGAACGCAATTGCGCCAGAAAGAAGTCTAGATCCTTCCACAGAAAGAATGCAGGAGGGAGTGCGGAACGCACTTCGCGACAGAAGTACAGATCCTTCCAGAAAAGGTACTCCAGTTTATCGGATCGCGTAGCGTCTGTGGGGTAGCACTGCTACCCGGGGTGGCACCGTACCACAAATTGACTTAGGGCCTCGCCACACCACTCTTGAAACGAGGAAATTTTTCAAGAGCTGTCAGACGTTCTCAAGAGTTGGGTCTTCAAGAGTTTTAGGCCCCTCGCCACACAGCACTCTCGAAACGGCAATGGTGTTAGACAGAGGATGAAAAACGACAGTCAGGGCCTCGCCACACCACTCTTGAAAACTCTTTTTCAAGAGTTGCTGCATGGCCATTGACCTACTTACCGTGCGGGTGCGCAGCCCGTAGTTTGTTTGTTGATGTTGTTGTGGACGTGTGTGTGTGTGTGTGTGTGTGTGTGTGTATTTGTGTGTTTGTGTGTGTGTGTGTGTGTGTGTGTGTGTGTGTGTGTGTGTGTGAGAGAGAGAGAGAGAGAGAGAAAAAAAAATCAGGCGCGGCGCCACTTTGTCAAAACGCATCGATCGATAAGGCACCACGCTCCCCGCGCACATAGGGAGACTATCACTTTGTGAACGCAGAGGGAACGGGAGCGGCCGCCGCTGCTTTTAGCCTGTTTCGATTTCGACCACGACAGGCTTCGAATTCAAACCACCACTCTACCCAACGTTGGAAATTCGAGGGACCGGTAGCACAGGTCCATGAGGGCTACCAGTAGCACAGAGTGGAGAACCGGCAGAGTGGTGAATATGGAAAATGGGATGAATTTGCGCTATAAGCTATTTCGCAGTTGAGTTAATTTTTTTAATTTTTTAAAATATTTTTCCTGAAAAGATCATGACCAAATCTATGGACCCTCAAATTTTCAGACTTGTTTACAAGTTCTTCTGAGCGTGAAAAATCTTTGAAATAGGGATACTTTTCCCATTGGCCCACAAGTTGTCATGTGCCAAAAATGGAAAAAGTGACGAATTGGCGCGGCATTTATTTCATGGCTAAACGATTTTATTTTATTTTGTTGATATTTTTCCTGGAAATATCACGACCTGACCTACCCGAAACCAAAGTTTCAGATATTTTCTCCAATTATTCTGCGTACGAAAAATCGCCAAAGTTGGCGCTCGAAGATTGCAAGATTGGACCCGCCTTCGCCTTCCAGTCGGCGCCCCCCTAAAAACCCGCCCTAATTGACTTACCGTGAGGGCACGGGTGCGCAGCCCGTAGTTCGTTTGTTTATGTGGTTCGGGAAGGGTAAGGTATTGATTATGCTGTATGTATGTTTTGTCATGTTCGCT